AAAATAACCCCTCATTCTTTAATATGCTCCAATTTCATCATTAACTTAATTTAACTTCAATTTGACTCAAATTTCACAAATTATTCAATTTTGACCCAAAACTTTTTTTTTCAATTTTTTTTCAATTAATAAGAAACTTCTTGTGTTAACTCGTTTAGGACAAGCTTTTGAGAGATTAAACAGACTGATTACGAATTATACATTTGGCCATTAACAACTGTAGTGTATTTTCGAGATTTCGTGTATCAACAAAACCATTTACAACCAGTGCAATGCCAATGGTAAAAAAACTAAAAGTGAAAACAACATTCACGTTCAGTACTTAAAGTTACTCAGACTGCATAGTATAACATAAAGTTCACCTACTTCATAAACAAAATTGATAAGCAAGAACTGAAATGGCTAAATTAAACAAAGAAAAAAAAAGCAGTAAATTACGGCCACCCCCCGAGTCTAGGTCAAATTACGAAGAAAGAAACCCACTTTTTTTTGGGTAATTACAACCACCCCTCAACTATGAATCTTCTTACACGCGCACCTTTATCTTACGATCATGTTGTTTTAAAATATGGAGCTCGAATGGGGTAAAACGGGTACAAACGGAAGAATATTCCTCATAATCTAGAAGATTCCACTAAATTTGACACCGCAAGAATGGACGTGTAAGAAGATTCATAGTTGAGGGGATTGTAATTACCCAAACATGAGGAGGAGAGGTATTTTCATAATTCGACCTTACCTCAGGATTCGCCGTAATTAATCTTATATATGAGATAATAAATTAGTCCTCCATAGTCTCTGGTTTCTCAATGGGAAAACCAAATTCACCTGTAATGATTCGACCCGATTTCTCAACGGGGAAGAACAAAGTTTCCATATACGGAACCAACCCAAATCCAAAAACCTTAATCTCTTCAAACGCATCAAACGTATTCTTACAAGGGTTGTAGACTACTAATCCATCGTCTTTTGGTTCATTCGTTCGAATCACAATCTCGTTTCCGACCAAACACTGCGGCTCAATCCGCCAAGTTGACTTTGCCACATTCACAACATTCTCAACATTCACCAACTCGTTCCAGGAATGATTGTCGATGCCCTTTCCCTTTGTCCAAATCCGAACACTCGTCTCATCACTCCCTTTGTAACAATACATGCCCAAACATCCCATCAATTCAACCAAGTGAATCGATTTGGTGTCGATTAAAATTTCCGGTTTCTCCAAGATCTTGAAATTGTCGTCTCTGGGATCGTAATACACTATCTGTAGCTCGTCCGTCGAAGCCCAATAGCTAACCCCGTCGACACAGACCCCCAATCCGTACTCTACACGGTAATCACTGCACTTAGTTTCGTACCTTTTTTCCAGCATTGTCCAGGAGTTGTTGTTACAAGAATAAACCGAGTAATCGTAAGATTTCACGATAACAACCTTAAAATCATCGGTGATCGGATCATGGCAAATCCCAAAAGCCGCCTCACGGCAGTAAAACGTGGCATGAAAAATTGTGTGTGTTCGAGTGGATGGATTCCACAGCGCGAAATTCTCATTCGAAAGGTCGGAAATTAGTATCAGCCCTTCGCAAAAGCATAAGACCGTTGCCCATAAATAGGGGCCGAACACTTGTTGTAAAGTTTGGATTTTTCGACCGTTTTTTTCAAATTTAACCAAAGAAAACCCGTATGAATTCACCTTTGAATTCTTGAGTAGAAAAAGATTCTCCGAATCCTTAGATTGAAGCTGACGGAGATGATGTTTACAGACGAATACAGGATCTGAAATCAGAATATTCCATGACTTGCAAACTGATTTGAATCGGAGAAGAGATTTAACTGATAATTTTAACAGCACAATTTCTATGACCTCGATTGGAAGATCCATGGTGATTTTGGAGTTTGGAGAGACGGCGTGATTTTTCAGCTGTGTAGAATGGGCTAGGGTTTCATAATTTTAGTGCCTCTACGAGAAATTCAAAATTATAATTTTGGTCCTCTATGTTGATATATTTAGAGATTTAGGCTCCGTTTGATAGAATTAAGTACTGAACGCTTAATGTTGAATAAAGATCTGAATGACTAAGAACAATGTCTGAATACTGAATGCTGAATTTTTAAGTTCGTTTGGTAACTAGAAGCCTATTATATTTGAATAGTATAATTTTACTTTATTAGCCCTAAGGTAGAAATTGGAACGAAATTTTCGATTTCCACCGATTTCGATCATAATTTTTTCGATTTTAGAATAATATTTTTCATTCCAAATTCGAAAAATCCAATTTTGATTTTTCTCGAATTTTTTCGATCGAAATTGGAATGTATATGAGATGCCAATTTCTGATTCTATTTCAATTTCCGAAAACAATTATGAAAATTTCGGGTTTTTTTCGAAAATTAAACTAATAACATTAATAAAATTATACATTTTATATTTAAGTGACTGGAGAATCGTATTTTTTCAGATTTTTTGGAACGAAATTGGAATGAATCCTTCCGACAAAACATTTTTTTTTTTTTGAAGGTGCTTATTTTGATCCGTCCGATTTACACTGCTAAGTAGCCTCAAATTTAATGGTGTTGAACAATTAAATATATTTACTAATTAACTATCGCATATCTAAATAAAAAAATTCTATTTAACTATGACCTTTATAATAATTTAATAATATAATTTTGATTAAAATAAATATGCTAGTGGAAAATGTATGGAAAATTGAACCCCACACTACATATAATTTATTATCGTATTTAACTATTTGAATAAAATAGTCGAAATACAAATTTTTATGGGACAAAATTGTCTCAAATCTGTTAAGTTAACATCTGAACGAATAAGTAAGATTTTTCCTGCTGAATCGCTAAGCAATAGTTGGCTCCGTTCAGGTCTCCTTACCAAATGCACTGAACAATGACTCATCTGACCGAATAAGAGATGGTTGCTATTAAGAGGTCATTAAGAGCTCATTAAGTACAATCAAACAAGGCCTTAGTCTTCTAAGTTATCGTATTTCAATTTCACATGCAATAATTTTGCAAATTTAGCATTTCTGTTCATCTTTTAACTGCTTGAACTCAATTTTACCATATGTCAAACGAATTTTACAGATTTTGCTTATACTGACTTTTAAAATTGATAATCTAATCATCTAATGTTTGTGGAATTAGTTCATTATGAGGTACATTGTAGCAGTGTACTGTTGTGTTGAGGTATTTTATAGTTTAGGAAGATCGAAGATCATATGATTGTAGTTTGATGATGAAAGAATTCGTACGTGATTTGCATGTAATGGATATGGTGAATTTTGTCGATGATGATAGTGTTTGTTGAGCATATCCACTCCAGAGATTCAAAAGAAGATGGAATTGCTAGCCTCGAGTCTGCCTATGATTATGTTAATATACCTGGAGAAGATATTGAAGTAGATGAAGAGATTGAAACGAATGTGGAGCAAGAGACTGAAACAAATGTTGAGGACTGTACTGAAAGCAATATGACATATGATATATAGTACTAGTCGGAGCAGTCATATGGAGAAGACTCTGACCATTCTGATAGGTTGTATGATAGTGAGTATGATGATGACCTATAAATGTCGATGCGGATATTGAATGGGATGGAGATGTTATCTACCAAACCGCAACTGCAAATGCTCCAACAATTCAAACTCAGGAGAGAGAAGAAAAAAGTGAATGCAATTTTGCATATTCCCTATTGTTCAATCCTAAAGTAGGCACGGAAGATCTACAATTTGTGGTTTGGCTCTGTTTTGCATCTACTCAAATTTTAAGAGAAGCCGCGAGGAGGCATTCTATGAAGCATGGAAGAGACATAATTATTTACCATGATTTTCCTCGTCTAATAAAATGAAAAGAAGGTTGAAATTCAAATGCCCATAAATCGTAGCTCCAACAATTGAATGTTAAACACAAAGAATGAAACACACAAATAATCTTACCTTTGTTGAAAAGCTTTTGCCTTTCAAGAAAAAAACGCAGCCCTAATTTTGGAGCTCAATTGTGTAATCGTGGGTTATAAGAATCAGAAGATTTGGGGATTTGGGTGCAACATTATGTATATACCCTAAAAGGACGAAAATGCCCTTTAAGTTGACGGAGACGTGAGAAAACTGGCGAAAAATACGCTGGAAAGTTCCATTTGGAGCAAAGTGGAACTATAATGAATCTTGAAGGGGATAGTCTCATTGTTTGAATTTGTACCGTAGAAAGTGCGAAAACTAGAAATTTCCGGGGGCGAAGTACATTTTGTCCTACGAATAATGAATATTTTGTAATATTTATGTTCATTAATTAGAAAATAAAACGTCAATAATGACTGTATAAAATAAAGGGTAAATAGCATGTAAATAACATTACACCGCCTAAACTTTGCATGTTTTTGCAGATTACCACCTTTAAAAAAAGAAAAAAAAAAAAAAAAAACTCTAATCCCAACTGAACTCGCACGTTACCATTGTTTTCTCATTTCCAGACCGGAATTGGACACACGGGCGTTGCACATGGGATTTGGAAGAGTTTTTTTGTCTTTTCAATCTCCGCTACCATTCTGTCTCTAAATCTCCTTGTCCATATTTTCATTCATTTCAGATTCAATCCCCCATTTCATCTATGCAACTAAGCTTTATACTCTCTCTCTCTCTCTCTCTCTCTCTCTCTCTCTCTCTCTCTCACACACACACACACACACACACACACGAGAAATTCAAAATTCACTCACGTATTTGTACATAGTCGTCCTCACCTCCAAAAAGCACATACCACCGTATCATATCACAAGTACCAGTTCCACCAGTATACACATGTTTTGGTTTAGTAATGGTTTGAAATTTTTCATTACCATAAGTACGGTTGGTAGATGCAGGGCCGGTGCCCGGGAGACCTAATACGAACACAATAAATTAGGCCCCTGTGTTTTTTTTCGTGTCTGTATACATTCAAAACTCTGACATGTTGTCTCGGTGACGTGTGCCAAGGACTGCTTCCAAAGCACAAAAAAAAGACATACATTAATAACAAGTAATCCCAACCAAAACATTAACCGATACGAAATTAGACCCTTCAAAAAGAGATACAAATAGAGACTAAATAAGTATCTATCTATTCAAGCAAAACTAAACATCACCCCTAAAAGTTAACACTCTCCGGCCTCGGTTTCTAAATGGGAAAACCAAACAGACCCATTACAACTTGTGACGATTTCTCAACGGGGAAGAACAGACTTTCCATATACGGAACCAACCCAGCTCGCCCGAAAACCTTTACGCCTTCAAATGCTTCAAACCTCTTCTTACACGCATCGTAGACTACCAATCCATCATCTTTCGGTTCTTTCGTCCGAATCACAATCTTATCTCCGACCAAACACTGCGGCTCAATCCGCCAAGTTGACTTGCCCACATTCTCAACATTCTCGACATTCACCAACTCCTTCCAAGAATGATTGTCGATGCCCTTTTCCTTTACCCAAATCCGAACACTCTTCTCGTCACTCCCTGTGTAAACATACATGCCCAAAGACCCCATTAATTCAACCAAGTACATGGACGATTTCCCGCCGTCTAAATCTTCGGGTTTCTCCAAAATCTTGAACTTGTCGTCTCTCGGATCGTAATACACTATCTGTAGAGGGTGCGTCGACGCCCAATAGCTAGCCCCATCAACGCACACTCCGGCCTCTTTACTGTTCGCTAGACGATAACCGATGCGTTTGTTTTCGTAATTTTGTTCCACCATCACCCAGGATTTGTTATTACAAGAATAAACAGAGTAGCAGTACCAACCGACAACAACAACCTTAAAATCGGCGGTGATTGGATCGCGACAAAGCCCATAAGACGCCTGATGGAGGTACGACTTAGGGTTAAGCAATGTCTGTGTTCTCGTGGATGGATTCCACAACGCGAAATTATCTTTTGAAATGTCGGAAATTAGTATCAAACCTTCGCAGAAGCATAAGACAGTTGCCCACAAATAAGGGCCGAACACTTGTCGTAAAGTTTGGATTTTTCGACCTTTTTTTTCAAATTTAACCAAAGAAAACCCGTATGAATTAACCTCTGAATTCTTGAGTAGAAAAAGATTCTCCGAATCCTTGGATTGAAGCTGGCGGAGATGATGTTTACGGACGAATACAGGATCTGAAATCAGAATATTCCATGACTTGCAAACTGATTTGAATCGGAGAAGAGGTTTAACTGATAATTTTAACAGCACAATTTCTATGATCTCGATTGGAAGATCCATGGTGTTTTTGGAGTTTGTAGCAGCGGCGTGGTTTTGGTTGGGGTTTATTGTTTGTGTAGAATGCGTCTGTAGACGGGATTAATAACCTAGAAATTTAACCTAGGTGAATTACAGTTTTCGTCCTTTAGGTCTCATTCGATTTCACTTTTGGTCCCAGTTGTTTTAAGTGAACAAATTAGGGATAATTACAGTTTTCGTCCCTATAATTTACTATTAAAATGATTTTCGTCCTCAAATTTTCGCACTCATAAAACTAGTCCCCAAACTCACATTTTTTTGACACTTTTTGTTCGGTTGTTAAGTTTCCAAGTTAAGTTGGATGGAATTGTCAGGTGCGCCGCATGTGATTTTCATTTGGCAGTCAAGGTCTAGCTGGAACACACACACAATCAACCTCACACTCTTCCCTAATTTATCTAACCCAAATTCCCAATTTTTCTTTCACTCTCTCTATTCCGCATACCCTAACAAACCTATATTCCCAATTTTTCTCAAGTCTCTCAATCCCGTAAGCCCGAGACAATGTAATCCCAAAATCCACCACATATCTCTCTCAATCTGTAAACCCTAGTTTGTAATGGCATAATCCATAAACACGTACACAATCGAAGTTCAAATATAACCACTTTGGAGAAACTTACAAAAATTGAAGATGATACGCACAATTGTGATATTTCAACCCCACACACATTTGAAAACTTGCGAAATTAGGGTTGGGGGATTCTGCTATTACGTAATTTCACATCAATAAGAAGATCCGTAAAGAGAATTTAGGAATAGGCTTTACGGGCTTATTGAGAATCAAGGAGAATTAGGGATTTTAATAATGGAAATGGGGTTGGGGTGAATGACGTGTCACTACACCTCATGTTTAATCGGCCAAGTAAATGAGGGGGTGTCCCAACTCGACATTAAACAACCAAATGGACATCACGAGTGCCACACGTGACAATTCCGTCAATCGTTTTAGTGGGGAAGTATAGGGACGAAAACTGTAACTATCCCCACGGTTAAGTTTGACGGAAAAACTAACGGAAATTACCTCCACAAACTACAACGGGGTTATGTGCTGATATTACGAGCACATGAGAGTCATCTACAAAAGCTTCTAACCACAGGGGATTTAAGTGCTACTTACCCCAAATTTAATATTGAACTTCAACTCTAATTTAATCATCGACGAATTCTATGTTACGCATCTCTACCCTACCTTGTCCCGTTTTACCCCTTTGTACTCTAAATTGTATTAGTACTATATGCTACATGTACTCAGTTCGATTGCATCAGTAGCAGGTTTTCGTTAGTTTGTCAGTTGTAATTTGTGTAGCATGGACATGGAAACGGCGATACAGAAAAACGGGAAAACGATATATCCAAAAAATGGGGATACAGGAACTTGGGGGAAACATGTAAATATCAAAAGTATATGGGTATATTTATAAATATGATAATAAACATATGTAAGTTTTTATTTATAGTATTTAAACATATTCAAAATAAATTTTACAATAAACTATCAGTTTGCGATTAATTATTAAATCATGTAAATAATTAGGGAAGCAACAAAAATATTTGAAATACTTGTTTTCAACTTTTTAGAAATTGTAAATTGTAAATTGAAAAATTGAATTTGCTTATAGTGGGACGTAGAAAATGAGTTTGAACAAACTAGTAATTAAGACCAGGTCTAAATGTATTCAGATTTGTCATTATAGTGATCAACATGGTCTCAATTTGTTATTCTCTTGAATTTTTCTTGTAACAACTAGAATCTTCTTGTATTCACTTGTTTAGGACAAGCTTTTGAGAGATTCGGTTCCCAAAGCCGAAAACCAGAAACCAAACCGAAACCAAAACTCTTACAAATTACAATTGACACAACAATTACAACTAACAAACAAGAAGTGGTGCCTGTAACATAAAGCTCGACTGGAACTAGAACAGGAACGGTACCCTCCGTTCCGTAATCCCTAATCACCGGCACACAAGGATAATGGCGGGATGGGCGAGACAGAAACCACAGAACGGCTGCGTCGCGGCTGGAATGGGTTGGAACGGAAAAAGAACACGGGGGAGGCCTGGCGGTGGTCCAGAGTATGTTTTTTAAATTTTCAAAATTTGCAATCTAGTCCTAATTGTTTTTTATTTCTCTTAAAAGCATAGAGATAATTTGATAACTTACATTTTCAACCTTATTTCTACTTCTCAAGGTTTAAAAAATTGTTCTAAAATAAAAATTGGAGTTTTACTGATAGTTTGGATATTATAATCCGGCGAACCATGCTCACCTCCCTCATAAACAATAACTGAAATCGCTAAAATAAAATAACAAAAAAAAAAAAAGTAAACAAGTATTAAAATATGTTACGCCGAATTTAGATCCAACAAAAAGATGTGCATATAGAGACTAAATTATGTATCTATTCAAGCAAACTAAACATCAACCCTAAATCAATACTCTATTGTATACATTTTCGCTTCCTCTTCCTCTCCGGTATCGATTTCTCAATGGGAAAACCAAATTCACCAGTTACGATTCGACCCGATTTCTCAACGGGGAAGAACAGAGTATCCATATACGGAACAAACCCAAGCCACCCGAAAACCATCTTCGTGTCTTTAAATTCTTGAAACCTCTTCTTACAAGGGCTGTAGACTACCAATCTACCGCTATGATTTGTTTCTTTTATCCGAATCACAATCTTGTTTCCGAGCAAATATTTCGGCTCAAACCACCGAAGTGGCTCCTCCATATTCTCAATAGTCATCAACTCGCTCCAAGTATGATTTTCGATCCCCTTTCCCTTTCTCCAAATCACGACCGTCTTGTCGCGACCTTCGTAATAAAGGCACAGAAACCCACTCAAATCAACCAAGTAAATCGATTTGCCGAATTCTGATCTCCTGTAATCCATGTTTTCGGGCATGTGCAAAATCTTGAACTTGTCGTCTCTGGGATCGTAATACACTATCTGTAGCTCGTCCGCCGAAGCCCAATAGCTAGTCCCCTCAACACAGACCCCCAATTCGTACTCTACACTGTAATCATTGTACTTAGTTTCATACTTTTTTTCCAGCATTGTCCAGGAGTTGTTGTTACAGGAATAAACCGAGTAATCGTAAGATTTCGCGATAACAACCTTAAAATCATCGGTGATCGGATCATGGCAAATCCCAAAAGCCGCGTCACCGCAGTAAAACGTGGCCTTAAAAATTGTGTGTGTTCGAGTGGATGGATTCCACAATGCGAAATTATCTTTCGAAAGGTCGCATATGAGTATTAGCCCTTCGCAAAAGCATAAGACAGTTGCCCACAAATAGGGGCCGAACACTTGTTGTAAAGTTTGGATTTTTCGACCTTTCTCCAATTTAACCAATGAAAACCCTTGTGAATTCACCTCTGAATTCTTCACAAGAAAAAGATTTTCCGAATCCTTAGATTGAAGCTGTCGGAGATGATGTTTACGTACGAACACAGGATCTGAAATCAGAATATTCCATGACATGCAAACTGTTTTGAATCGGAGAAGAGATTTAACAGATGATTTTGACAGGACAATTTCTAGGATCTCGATCGGAAGAGCCATGGTGTTTTTAGAGATTGTAGCGGCGTGGTTTTTGGAGCTGTGTATTGATGTTGCAGAATGTAGTGTGTGTGTATATATATATATTCCGTAACCCTAAACAATGAACTCTCCATGGAGCTAATTGCATGGAACCCTTGTGTAATCTGGAATAGATAAAAAGCCCATCATGTTAAAACTATTAGGCCCGTTTGGTTGCCAAGATAAGCCATGATTAATTGAATAGTTGGACTTAATTTGATGTTTGGTATCCCTAATAAATTGTCGGGTCGACCCGCCAAAATTATATAATCATGGCTTATCTTGCCTTCTCGTGAGTTTTTTTTGTTGGACGCCGCGAACTCCAATAAAATAATTGGGTTTCATTACATTTTTTAATTTTATCTTGGCTAATCTTATCTTGCCAACCAAACGGGGCCTTAGCATACAACCCCATATTATTTTTGACAAAGAACACTGCCCCTTATTTCGAAATTAGCCGTTGACTTATACAAAATGACTAAATTAACACTCATATTTTTTAATAATTTATGTTTCAAATATAAATAAATAAAATGCAAAATGAATATAATTACAAAACTCCAAAAAGAAAGAAGAAAAATTATCACTCACGGCCATCATCTCCTCCCCCAACCCAATTCTTCCATCGAGCCCTTCGCCGCCGCATCACCACCACCTCACCACCACGGCCGTACAACCTGGCTTCCCACCCAAAAAAAAAAAAATTATACTTTATGTTTGATGGATTCTTACAGATCTCTTGTGAATCAAGATTTTGGATCTAATTACGTTTTGTGCGTGTGTGTCTGTTGTGCTGGGTATTTTGGTGATTTTATTGGGGAACTTATATAACATATGGCCACACTATTCTTCTCATCTCTTCGTCAGCGGTAGGTTTGGAGGCGGCATCATCCGTGCCAGATGGAATCATCCATGGTGGATCGGGCCTCTCTCTCTCTCTCTCTCTCTCTCTCTCTCTCTCTCTCTCTCTCTCTCTCTCTCTCTCTCATACACACGAGGTTCCATCGTGAAGTGCAACTTTTGTTGGTATTTCTTCCTTTGCAAACGGGTTGTTTATGAAGATGAACTGCTCGATATTATTTCTTTTTTTTTTTTTTTGGCGAGGAGCAGATATGAAGAAGGAGAGGGAGAAAGAAGATGAGGTTTTGAGAAATTATGAAAATTGCAATTGATCCTATGCCATTTGGAGAGATGGCTTTTCTGAAATTATTAGGGATTGAATTGAAAATTCTGAAAACTTTATTTTGAGCTTATGAAAAATACTGGATAAATTTATAAATTTCGAAAAAATTGATTTCAAGAGTATTTAGGTCTTTTTAGTTCCAAAATCAGACCCCCAGTTGCACAAAGCGCGGGTGTATAACACATCAAGCTCATAGGGTCCTTTTTTACTTTGACTATTTTTTACGGGGGTTTTGTGCTAATACTCTTAAAACAAAGATTTTTTCAACTATTCGAGATTACACATGGGTGTTTTTTTGAGAAAAAAAACCTCGATCCATGGGCTACGAGGAAAATATTTTAAAAGTGTAAAAAATAATTATTTAAATATATATGACAATAACAATGAGTTATTGGATAGAAATCCCTGTATAATACTAAAAACCCCCATGTCAAATCAATTAGAACATACCTCTGTGTTGCATAGTCGATGACAGTAAGGCCGCTACGAGCTGGTTACGTGAAACACTCGCCAAATATCCGATTTGGGTTCCATTTTTGTGTGAAAAGACCAAAATACCCTTTAAATTATAAATTTCATAAATAAGTCCCAAATAAAGTTTTCAATTTTTTTCAATTCAGTCCCTTGAAGTTTCAGAAAGGCCCACTTCTTCCTTAAGTCGGGGACTGAATTGAAATTTTCCAAAAATACACTGAACATAGCTCATCGCAGCTCCTTCCGGCAAACACTCTCTCCGGCCTCACCTCCATCCATATCCTCTCTCTCCGGCCTCACCTCCATCCATATCCTCAGCCTCCGCTTCGCCCCATCACTCCAACATTTTCTTCGACGAAATTCAGATCGGTTTGGAGCTAAGATTCAATCTCACTATTCTTCTGCAAAACCCATCAACAACCTTGAAAATCCAAGAAAATATCTTCCCCACATTAAAAACAGAGCTTTTCAGAGAAAAAATAACTATTTTTTCACATTTTGAGTCCGTTCGCAACCGCGATTGCAACTGGAACGACGGTAACGAACCATGCTCAGCTCCCTCATAAAAAATAACTGAAATGGTTAAATTAAAAAAAAAACAAGTAATCACGAGCAAAACATCAATCGATGCAAAATTAAAATATGTTACACCGAATTTAGATCCTAAAAATAGATATGCAAATAGAGACTAAATATGTATCTATTCAAGCAAAGTAAATCAATACTCTATTCTATACATTTTCTCTTCCTCTTTCTCTCCCTCTCCGGTATCGATTTCTCAATGGGAAAACCAAATTCACCAGTTATGATTCGACCCGATTTCTCAACGGGGAAGAACAGAGTATCCATATACGGAACAAATCCAAGCCACCCGAAAACCATCTTCGTGTCTTTAAATTCTTGAAACCTCTTCTTACAAGGGCTGTATACTATTAATCTGCCGCTATGATTCGTTTCTTTTATCCGAATCACAATCTTGTTTCCGAGCAACCATTTCGGCTTAAACCACCGAAGTGGCTCTTCCACATTCTCAATAGTCATCAACTTGTTCCAAGAATGAATGTCGATTCCCTTTTCCTTTGTCCAAATCACGATCGTATTCTTGTCTCTACCTTCGTAATAAAGGCACAAAAACCCACTCAAATCAACCAAGTAAATCGATTTGTCGTAATCCACATTTTCGGGCATGTGCAAAATCTTGAACTTGTCATCTCTGGGATCATAATACACTATCTGTGGGCTGCACTCCGAAGCCCAATAGCTAGTCCCGTCAACACAGACCCCCAATTCGTACGATACACTGTAATCATTGTACTTAGTTTCATACTCTTTTTCCAGCATTGTCCATGATTTGTTGTTGCAAGAATAAACCGAGTAATTGTACGATTTCGCGATAACAACATTAAAATCATCAGTGATTGGGTCATGGCAAACCCCAAAAGCTGCATTAACGCAGTAAAACGTGGGCTTAAAAACTGTGTGTGTTCGAGTGGATGGATTCCACAACGCGAAATTCTCTTTTGAAAGGTCGCATATGAGTATCAGCCCTTCGCAGAAGCATAAGACAGTCACCCACAAATAGGGGCCGAACACTTGTTGTAAAGTTTGGATTCTTCGACCTTTCTCCAATTTAACCAATGAAAACCCTTGTGAATTCTTAACTAGAAAAAGATTCTCCGACTTCTTCGAACCCTTAGATCGAAGCTGTCGGTCGTGATGTTTACGAATGAACATAGGATCTGAAATCAGAATATTCCATGACTTGCAAACTGTTTTGAATCGAAGAAGAGTTTTAACTGATAATTTTGACAGGACAATTTCTATGATCTCGATTGGTAGAGCCATAGTTTTTTTTAGAGTTTATAGGGGCGGCGGAGTTTTGGTGTTGTGTGCATATATATATATATATATATATATACACGATTGAGTATGTGTTAAAGATCCTTGCAAGAAAGAGAAGTTGTATGTAAAGGACGTAGCTAATGGCCCAAGTATTAATTACTGAACCATGGGCTACGAGTCTTTTTTAGGGTTTCATAATTTTATATTTTAACTAATATTTATCTCCGTGGAATAGACAGGAAAATATTTACAGTTTGTACTCTTGAATTATAGGGTTTGTCACAAAAACCCTTGAACAACAAAATGAAACAAAACGCCCCTCCATTTCCAATCCGTTTGTAATGTGTTGACTTTCCCCAAATAAATTATTTTTACATTTTTATGCTCATTTATATATATATATATATATATAAATATGTGTATAAAGATAAAGGACAATCTTGTACCATGGTTACATTAGCTCAGAAATGGAGCAAAACGAGGTTGACAAAAAAAAAAAAAAAAACACAATGGCAACAAAGCGACGCCCCACCGAAGGAAGGCCAATCAAACACAAACCAATTACCAAAAAAGCCCTTAGAATGCTTGCAGAGAACTGGATTGGCAATATCAACCATGCGATGGTGAAGTCGACGGGGACCAACGAGAGATTTATGGAGCGAAGACAAAGCCTACCACAACCAAATTTGCACGGAAATTCAAGGATTTTGAGGCCTTTAGAAACGAGCATGTGGCTAAAATCTTGATTCTTCTCCTCTTCTATTTTTTATTTTATTTTTTAGATTGAAAATAAAATAGGGGATGATTCCAATCATTTAATTGGGTTTTGCTAGAAAACTTTAAAACTGAAATGGGGTTTGGTCTAGGTTTTTGAAAAGAAAAAAAAGTGAGCTGAAGCTCGCAATTTCTATGTTGATAATTTGGGATTTGATGCATAAGAGAGTATAAAGGAGAGGAGAGGGGGAGAGAGGAGAGAACCTCTGTGAATAGAAAAAAGAAAAAAAAAAAAAAAAAAAAAAAAAAAAAGGCGAGAAGAAAATGAAGACAAAGAAAGAGGAGAGAGACCAAAATTATATTGGTGGGCAAAGAAGTAATTGCACATAAAAATTGACGGTGTTAGTTTTGTTAATGTTGACCATTAAATACAGGGGCTATTTTGTTAGGTTTTGTAGTTTATGAGAGTATTTGTGACACACCATATAATTAAGGAGTGCAAATTGTACTTTCCCCTAAAATTTATTTATGATATTTAAATTATAGTAACAATATCAACCACAAATGATTATTTGAACTTAATTGTTATAAAATGAAATTGATTGTTAAAGAATTGGTGCACTTAATAAACCAAACTCTTAGAGAAAAATTACAAGAAATAAACGTATAAATATAATCAGAGACAGTTGACATATAAGAAAATGATGTTGAAAGAATTTTACATGGTTTTGTTTAAATTTTGAACTTTTACAAATTAGAAAAAAAAAAAATATATATTAATTATAAAAATAATATTAGGGTTGCTTAGAGTTAACTTTTTTTTTAAATATTATTTTATATAGGGAAGTCTTAAATCCTGACTAAAATTTATAGAATCAATCACATAATTCATAACAAATTTCTCTAAAATCCTCTAAAATCCTTTTTTGTCTTCCTTTTCTTTTTTTTTTTTAGGAAAAGATCGCTAAATTTGAAGGCAGATGATACATGGTAACTTAGCAAGAGAATTGGCTAAACAAACGTTTTATAAAAATGCCTGAACAATTCGACATTAGTTCGAGAGGTGCCAAACCCATCGATCTATCTTCGACCGATGTTCCTCCAATGTAAAAGGTCAAGGGTCGGTTGAAGATATTAAGCAAGACTCTGCCGCCGGCAACAAATTGCAAAGCAACCACCACCCGTCCAATAGCAGCTGCTGCTCTGTCAAGCCAGCATTTTTCTGTTACCTCTAACTCATTAGTTAGATGTTCAGGTGGCGGTATACACCACCACCTGCAATGGCCGTCGGCCGCCGTTTAACAATTTTGCAGCCCTGAGTACTCTCAGGACCCGCCAGGTGACGGTGTCCACCGCCTCCTGCAACAGCCGGCAACACTTGGGGGCAAGCCCAAGAACCGGCCGTTTAACAATTTCGCCGCCGAGTAGGAACTACAGACCGCCGAATGGTCAAGTAAATTCAAACATTAATAATATGCAAATGCGTGTTGTTAAAAATCCATTTTCATTTGGTATTATAAATTGAAGTCATGTGAGAGACACATGCCATTTTCCATTCAACTTAACTGCAAAAATAAACGGCTTGACCCTATCTTCCTGCTATGGATGGGTGTAACTAATCTGTACTTGCAAGACGGCATTTTTATTTAAATTAATTATTTTGAAAATTAATTAAAAAAAAAAGTTTGTACATTGTTTGTTGAGACAGTGTTTCGGACAAATTAAAGTTGTAATTAAACATGATCAATTAATGAAAACAACATAAGTGGGAGTGGCTTCCTGAGCTATATTTGTGCCAAAAAATAGCATAATTAAGGACTAATATTGTAACTCCAAAATGGTTCGAAACAATTTTGAAAAAGTGGGTAAAATATGGGGACAAAAAATGTAATTTTCTGAAATTTTTACATTCCAATTTTCTTGGAACAAAAATTAGAATCCATTTTTACTTCTGAAAAAAAAAATTTATTTTTTCTTTTGAAAAAGTCATTTCCATCCATTTTGACTCCGATTTCCACACTTTTATAGCCAATTTATGAGGAAAACCCTAACAAGTTTCTGAAGCTTTCAACACAGCAATTTAATAAGATCCTACCCAAATGATTAGAATTCGTATTCCATTCATCAATAAGTTAAACGTGCGATAATTCCAGAACCACGCCGCTAATTACAAGAGGTAAATTAAATAAAACCATGGTTGTGGAACAAGATGAATCAGTTCACCTTCCACTCGAAATGATAGAAATCATCGTGCCAAAATTACCAGTTAAATCTCTTCTTCGATTCAAATCAGTTTCCAAGTCATGGAATACTATGATCTCCGATCCCGCGTTCGTCAAACATCATCTCCGGATATCGAAACATTCGAACCCACATAATCTTTTCATGCAAAAGCATCCAAACTCTAAAGGGTTTTTTTCTTTAGTTAAATTCGAAGGCCGGAAGTTCCGAACCGTAAAATTACTAGAATGCCCCTATGCCTGTGTTAAGTTCTTGGCCTTCTGCGACGGCGTGCTACTTTTATCCGACATCTCTTACAAGAAATTAACGTTGTGGAATCCATCCACTCGACAAACCGCAAACTTTGAGTTCCCATATGCGCATTGTTGTTATCCAATGAGCTACGGGCTTTTTCACGATCGAACCGTTGGCGATTTCAAGGTAGTTGTTATATGTAGGGACCACTGCGCAATTTATTCGTGCAAGGACAAAGCGTGGACGAGGAAGCGACGGATTCAAGATATTGGTCTAGTACAGATTGGTTCCGGAGTTTGTGTCGACGGGGTAGTCTATTGGGTTAATCGTTGGAGTAGCGACGGAACGCATATTTTATATTTCGATACGAAAGATGACGACGAGTTGAAGGTTTTGCGGAAACCGGAAAATGTTAACTTAACGGGCAAAATGATCGACTTGATTTGCTTGAGAGACAACTTGTGCATGTGTTGCATTGGTAGAGGCGTGACGAATGTTCAAATCTGGATAAAGGAAAAGGGCTCTGGCAATAGTACTTGGAAGGAGTTGATGACTATTGAGAATGTGCAGACGCGGGCTTCTTGTTTCGAGCCACTACTACATTTTGTCGGGAATAAGATTTTAATTGTATGGAAAGATTCAAAGTTAGTCGTCTACAACCCTTCTGAGAAGACGTTTGAAGAAGTTGACGATAGTGTTCTTTCCGGACGCGGATTTTTTCCGTATACGGAGAGTCTTTTCTTCCCCAATCAAAATAATTAATGTTTTTTTTTTTTCTTTTTTTCTTTTATTTTCGAAAATGAGTTTGTAGTGGATTTAAGGGTCAATTTGTGTTTCTGAATCGAAAGTGGATTTATGAATGTGAACACTGAACCAGAGCAACCCAAACTGACCCGTGCCCAAATTAAAACTAATATAAAATATAGGACCTAATTGCAATATTTGAAAACTTCCATTAAAACAACCCTTAAATTAAACCTAAATCTGCAAACTCCAAAACCATGGCTGAAAGTACATCATATCTTCCACCGGAAATCATAGAAAATATCCTGTTGAGGTTACCGGCTAAATCTCTTCTTCGATTCAAAGCAGTTTCAAAATCATGGAATACCGTTATCGCCGATCCTGTATTCGTCCAAAATCATATCCGACAATCCAAACATTCAAACTCCGACAACCTTTTTATATGTTATGATCATATGATTTTTTCTTGCAGCACTTATCCTTTTCGAGTGATTAAATTGGGAGATAAAAAAATCCAAACTTTACAAGAAATAGAATCCCCGTATGAGTATGGCAGGTGGCATGCGTTATGCTTTTTAGATGGCGTCATACTCTTAACCGACGGCACATACGAGAGATTCGCGTTGTGGAATCCATCCACTCGAACGTCGGAAAAGCTTCGGCACAGGTATAGCTGTCCGTACGCAGCTTTCGGGCTTTGTCGCGATCCAGCCACCGACGATTTTAAGGTTGTTATTGCTGATTCAGACCACTACTCGGTTTATTCTTGTAAGAAAAAATCATGGATCATGTTGAAAAAAGAATACGAAATTAAATACACCTATTTAGGTGTAGACATCGGTTATAATAACAACGGAGTCTGTGTTGACGGGGCTAGCTATTGGGTTTTGATGTTGGATAAGGCAAATCAAAATAAAGTGTATTTGACTCTTGGCCATCTAAAGAGTGAAGTTCATGAATTTGGAAAATTAAAGATGCATCTTGAAGAACAATGAATTTAGTCTTATGTCTTTTCATATATCTAAATTGTACTTAATTTCCTATTAGTATAAATATGAGGTTTATGTTTGTATTTCCAGTAAGAAGAAGAAACAAAAAGCAGAGTGAAATAGAGAGAAACGAGAGTCTCTATCTTGTAAAAGGCAGCAGCCTAATTCCTTTGAGAAATACAAGTGTTTTGAGTTTAATCTTCTTCCTTTGTTTATCATATTGAGTTGTGATTATCTTAAATATTTTGGACCAACATAGTGGCATCAGAGCCACGTTACGAGGAAGACGTCATGACAAACGGTTTTGTGCAAACCCAACTGCCAAAACTCACAGGAGAAAATTATGAAAATTGGAGCATTCAAATGAAGGCTCTCTTTGGGTCATACGATCTTTGGGAGATTGTTACAAGTGGCTACGAAGAACCTGGTGCAGATGCAGAAGCTGCTCTAAACGCCGGACAAGGGAATACTCTACGAGAGCAAAGAAAGAAAGATAAGAAAGCATTATACTTTCTCTATCAAAGTGTTGGCGAATCCATGTTTGAAAAGATTGCTGAAGCAAATTCGAGCAAAGAAGCTTGGGATAAACTTGCCTCTCAATTCAAAGGAGTAGATCGTGTGAAAAGAGTTCGTTTGCAGTCACTTCGAGGTGATTTTGAAAGCACTCGAATGAAAGAAGGTGAATCGATTTCCGATTATTGTTCTCGATTACTCTCTATTGTAAATCAATTAAAAAGAAATGGAGAAGCAGTTGAAGATATTAGAGTGATTGAAAAAATATTACGATCACTCACAAAGAACTTTGAGCATATTGTTGTTGCAATAGAGGAATCAAAAGATCTTGATACACTTACAATAGACGAGTTGATGGGTTCCTTACAAGTTCATGAACAACGCATGAAAAAAGATACTGATTCTGCCCCAATTGAGCAAGCTTTGGAGTCAAAGCTCAATATCAGTAATCAAAGAGGTAGAGGCCGAGGAGTTCAACGTGGTGGCAGAGGAAATAACTTTCGAAGTAGAGGTCGAGGTCGTGGGAACTTCGACGACCGAAATCAAAATCAAAATCAGCAAAGGAACACATATAATTTTGAGCGAGGAGGTTTTAGAGGAAGATCCCGTGGGAGAGGAAGTCGTGGCGGCCGAGGTAACAATAAAGATGTTGAATGTTACAACTGCCACAAGTACGGACATTTTGCATCAGATTGTTGGTTCAACAATTCTGAACAAAATGATCAATCCAATTTTGCCCAAAAACAAGAAAACGAAGATATCACACTTCTTTTTGCACAAAAGGACTCCGACAAACAACAAGATGTGTGGTATCTTGACTCAGGAGCGAGCAATCATATGTGTGGAAAGAAAGATATATTTGAGGACCTTGAAGAGTACTTTCATGGCAATGTTAGCATGGGAGATTGTTCCACAGTTCCAGTGAAAGGCAAAGGAAGAATTAAAATTTTTCAAAAAAATGGTGTTGCTCAGTATATTTCAAGTGTGTATTATGTACCTGACATGAAGAGCAATATTCTCAGTCTCGGGCAATTACTTGAAAAGGGTTATGTAATACACATGGAGGATTTTTGTCTTTATTTGATAGATGCACAGGGACGTCTTATCACTAAAGTCCAAATGGCGAGCAATCGAATGTTTCCGCTGCAGTTAAACACTACTTCTGAAAAGTGTTTACAAGGGATTATAAAGAAGGAGTCGTGGAAATGGCATCTTCGACTTGGCCATCTTAATTTTAGTGGTCTTAAGCTCCTGGCAAATGCTAAAATGGTGAATGGATTACCATCGATCGAGACACCAAATTTTGTTTGTGAATCGTGCACTCTTGGAAAGCAACACCGAAATAGCTTCCAAAGTGGAAAGTCGTGGAGAGCTCAAACACCGTTGCAGTTGGTGCATACAGATATTTGTGGACCTCTTGACATTGAATCTCTTGGAGGTAACAAGTATTTCATTTCATTTATTGACGACTTCAGCAGAAAATTGTGGGTGTATTTTATCAAGGAAAAATCAGCTGCATTTATGATTTTCAAAAGGTTTAAGTCATTTGTTGAGATGCAAAGTGGTAAAAAAATTAAAATCCTCAGATCTGATAGAGGTGGAGAATACACCTCAAATGAATTTCGAGATTTTTGCAGAGAACGAGGTATAAAGCAGCAATTTACAACCTCGTACACTCCACAACAAAACGGTGTTGCGGAGAGAAAGAATCGCACTATTCTTGACATGACGAGAACCATGTTAAAAGAGAAAAAGCTGCCGAAATTATTTTGGGCTGAATCTGTGCGATGTGCGGCTTATTTGCTGAACAGGTGTCCAACTAAAAGTGTGAGAAATATGACACCACAAGAAGCCTGGAGTGGTTACAAGCCAACAATTGGCCATCTTCGAATTTTCGGCTGTGTTGCCTTTGCGCGAGTTCCGGAAGCAAAAAGAAAAAAACTTGATGACAAAGGTGAGAAGTGTATCTTCATTGGCTATAGTGAAGAATCAAAAGCATACAAACTCTATAACCCACTAACCAAAAAATTAGTGGTTAGTAGAGATGTTGTATTCAACGAAGATGAAATTTGGAAGTGGAATGAAGGAGAATCCAGCAGAGAAATTCAAGTCGAAAATGAGGAAAATAATGAAAGTGAAGAGCCGCAGATGTTAACTCCTCCACATGCAAGAACTCCTCGCGAAAATGGAAATTCAGGTGGTTCCCCTTCTACACCAATCAAAATGCGAAGCTTGAGGGAAATTTATGAAGAAACCGAAGAGACAAATTTGCTATGTCTCTATGCTGATCATGAGCCGTTATCTTTCGAAGAAGCGGTGAAAGAAGAGTGTTGGAAGAAAGCTATGGTGGAGGAAGTACGTTCCATTGAAAAAAATGATACGTGGAAATTAACTTCTCTTCCAAAAGGGCATCGGCCAATTGGAGTCAAATGGGTCTACAAAATTAAGCGAAAGGCTGATGGAGAAATTGACCGATACAAAGCAAGACTCGTTGCCAAAGGGTACAAGCAAAAATACGGAGTCGACTATGATGAAGTTTTTGCCCCGGTTGCTCGGCTTGATACGGTAAGAATGCTGATGTCACTTGCAGCACACCATAGATGGAAATTGTACCAATTGGATGTAAAATCTGCATTTCTAAATGGTATACTTGAAGAAGAAGTGTATATCGAGCAACCCGAAGGTTTTGTAGTTGAAGGCCGAGAAAATAAGGTGTATCGATTGAAGAAAGCCTTGTACGGTTTGAAGCAAGCCCCACGAGCGTGGAATTCTCGCATTGACAGTTATCTTCTTGAGAATGGTTTCGTCAAATGTCCATATGAGCACGCACTTTATACAAAGAAAACTTCTCAAGGTAAATTGCTCATTCTATGTCTTTATGTCGATGATTTGCTGTTTACTGGAAATTGCGAGGAAATGTTTAGTGAATTCAAGCGAGCCATGTTCAAGGAATTTGAGATGACAGATTCTGGGCTAATGTCGTTTTTTCTTGGCATCGAAGTACAACAAACGGAAGAAGGTACTTTTATCTCACAAAAAAGGTACGCCTCTGAGTTACTCGAGAAATTCAAAATGGCAAATTGCAATCCCGTCGAAACTCCTATGTCTCCTGGATTAAAATTGACAAAAGATGGAGAAGGAAAATTTGTTAACTCCACCCTCTTTAAAAGTTTGATCGGGAGTTTGCGGTACCTCACAATCACAAGGCCGGACATTGTTTACGCCGTGAGCCTTTTAAGTCGATACATGGAGAAACCAAAAGAATCACATTGGCTAGCTGCAAAAAGGGTCTTGCGGTACATCAAAGGTACGCTGAATTTTGGCTTATCCTATTTCTACAATGATGATGCTATTTTGTATGGATATTCGGATAGCGATTGGGGAGGAGATCAAGATGAAAGGAAAAGTACCACAGGTTATGTATTTTTTCTTGGGTCTGTAGCATTCACATGGGCATCCAAGAAGCAAAATGTGGTTGCATTATCTTCGTGCGAAGCTGAGTATGTGGCATTATCTTCAGCTGTTTGTGAAGCAATTTGGTTGAAAAATTTGTTGAAAGAGTTGAACCATCAACAGAATGATCCTACGGTCATATATGTTGATAACAAGTCGGCGATTGAGTTATCCAAGAATCCCGTTCAACATGGAAGAAGCAAGCATATTGAACTCAAATTTCATTTCTTGAGAGATCATGTAAAAAAGAAGACCATGTCTTTGGAGTACTGTAGTACCTTGGAGCAAGTAGCAGATATTTTGACGAAAGCTTTACCAACTGATTCGTTCAAGAAGCTAAGGCAAATGCTTGGAGTGAAGAGGATTTTGATTTGAGAGGGGCTGTTGGATAAGGCAAATCAAAATAAAGTGTATTTGACTCTTGGCCATCTAAAGAGTGAAGTTCATGAATTTGGAAAATTAAAGATGCATCTTGAAGAACAATGAATTTAGTCTTATGTCTTTTCATATATCTAAATTGTACTTAATTTCCTATTAGTATAAATATGAGGTTTATGTTTGTATTTCCAGTAAGAAGAAGAAACAAAAAGCAGAGTGAAATAGAGAGAAACGAGAGTCTCTATCTTGTAAAAGGCAGCAGCCTAATTCCTTTGAGAAATACAAGTGTTTTGAGTTTAATCTTCTTCCTTTGTTTATCATATTGAGTTGTGATTATCTTAAATATTTTGGACCAACACTTTTGAGAAATCTCGTTAAAGCTGAGCTCACTCTAAGGACATCTCGCCAAGTCAGTATCTTTCTAGAACCATTCGCGAGTTATTCTACTCTTCACCCAATGAAAAAAAAAACAAACAAAAACCAGAATCAAATTGATAACAAGAAATGTATTGACATAAAATAACCTCACTAGCAATAAGCATACTTCTTCAAGAATTCAATTCGATAATCAGGGGCACGGTTGAGTTACTTATCACATGCATTTCATAACAAATTTAACAAATATTACACAATAATCAACTAAAATTCACTTGCATGCTTAT